TATATTTATATAAGAGATATATAATAAGAGATATATAATATATGAATAAAACCCTTATAGAAATATCATACTAAGAATCATTGATAATTACTTATTATCCAGTATTTTTAATACTGAAAATAAGTAATTATCAATGATTCTTAGTATAATATTTCTATAAGGGTAGAAGTAGAATTTTCATATCAGCGATATAAAAGTTACCCCAAATGACGGTATCCCACACAGCACGTAATATATATAATATCCAGGGTTGGGAAGTAACGCGTTATTTGTAACGACATTACTATTTCGTTACTTTTTTTTGTAACGATTTCCCTTATAGAAATATCATACTAAGAATCATTGATAATTACTTATTATCCAATATTTTTAATACTGAAAATAAGTAAATATCAATGATTCTTAGTATGATATTTCTATAAGGGTTGGTAACGCCGTTACTTTTTGTATCAGTAACGAAAAAGTAACGGCGTTACATTTTCTTTAGTAACGAGTAACGAAATTCATCGTTACTTATATCGTTACTTTTTACTATGATGGTTTCTGTACACAGAACGTGGCAACGCTTGCCACGTGATGAAAGTTTGCACATGATAAATAATTAATGTGCTGCTTTCCGTAAAGCCTATTCTACAATAAGCAATAAATCTTAAGTCATAATAAAATTAACCAATCATAGTCGACTATTATAAGAATACTCCACTGTAATTGGTCAATTTTATTGCGACTTAAAATTTATTGCTTATTGTAGAAAGCCTCTAAAGCGTGATCTACTTATGCCATAAAATTTAAGCTTTAATCTCTAAGCTGTAAGAAATTATTTTTCTTATAATTGACTGTGATTGGTCAACTTCTTACGCCTTAGGATTTAAAGCTTAAATTTTATGGCTTAAGTTCTCATTGTAGACCACACTTAAGGGGCGTCGCACACGAATTGACATAACAGTAACGTAAGACGTACCGTAAGAACTGACCAATCACTTTGAGTATCGTCGAACCGTAAGGTCGCCATTTTTTGTGAATACTCGATTGTAATTGGTCCATTTTTACGGTACGTCTTACGTTACTATTATGTCAATTCGTGTGCGGTTCTAAAGCCCATTCTACATTAGTCGCAATCGCAAGATCGCAAGGAAATTGCACCAATCATAATTGATTATTCTTCGATCGCAAGAAGAACAATCGACTATGATTAGTCAATTTCTTTGCGACCTTGCGACTTGCGACTAATGTAGAATGGGCTTTATGTCGTTATGCAATAATGTGTGCTTCCCGCTTAAATATCTTATATTTTGTTTTTATATATGTATAATTTATGTACTGTCTCTTCTACTATTCGTTTTATATGCCGATTTTAACTTTTTTTTTACAAAAGTAACGGAAAGTAACGATTTTTTATCGTTACTTTTCAAATAACGGTAACGCGTTACTTTTTAGAATCAGTAACGAGTAACGGTAACGAGTTACTTTTTACCGCAAGTAACGGTAACGGTAACGCGTTACTTTTAAAAAGTAACGTTCCCAACCCTGATAATATCACAGTAATATTTCAATAATATTTCTGCAATATTACAATATTACGGAAATATTACTGTGATGTTATATAATATTACGTGTTGTGTGGGATATTATTGCCTTTGAAATAAAATAATTTTTGTTAATTTATGTCTGATATATTTTTGCCTCATTTTCCATCATAACAATTTTTACATAATTTTC